GGGGGCGAGAAGTCTTGTTGAAGAGTGGGCCCCAAGCATCCTTGTCCTCTGCAAGTTACCATCAAGAAGGCACCGTGGACATGTGGTTCAGAAAGAACAACGTTGAAGCTACACAAGGCAACCACAAGGCAACCACCGTCTATATAAAGGACTTGAGAGGAATGTGTTTCTGTTTTTTGTTGGCCTTCAGGGAGTTGGCTTGGCGGTTCGTGGGAAAAAAACAAGAACTGATTCTGACAAAGCTGGAGTTGAAACGGCTCTCCTTGCACACCAGCTCAATCTGCTCGAGCGAATATTCGGGCTTCCACTCCTGCGGGTCCAGCCGTCTGTTGGGAAATGATCGGGGTCCCCAAATCTAAGTGACCTTTTGAAGGTTCCGAAGTGACCCTTATAAGCCTTAGGAGGCTTAATTGAGCTCAAAGCAGGTGATCAAAAGGTCACGGTGAAGAACTAAGCAATACATGTTCTACGTGGGGATTTACGAATTTCTATCTATTTGGGATAGCAACTCTGGTAAAATTGAGCCAAGAACAAAACTCCGCAAGGAGTGTCAGATAGGGGTGCCTAGTGGAGAGTAGGCGTGCCCACTATCCACTTAAGCCATTCCTTAGGAGCTCCAAGCCCTTCCTTTGGAACTGCACTCCTTGCGCTGGACTCCGGCACTAACAACGTTCGACCGCGCCATCTGGTTGAACCAAATGCCACCGTCTTGCGGAGAGTAGGGCATGGCCCCTAAATGGCTATCGTTCTGGTGACGTAACTCACTGAAACTCTTACTGAACTATAACCCAGACACTCCATGTATGCCTTATATATACATTGACCCCCCTGGCACCACCCCAACTGACCACCCATTAGTCGTGTCTGGGTAGGAGGCAGGGTCCAGTCGATCCAACGCATGTGTTCACCAAACCAGACCCAGTCATCTAGGCCTCAAGCAGAACTCCTCGTGGCTAAGCATTGTAGCTCCTACCTTGTCGAGAAATACAAAGAGACCTTTGCAGCTCAGCACAGCTTAGCCGCCGAATACACACCCGCCGAATGCACTACTGATTCTGGAACCGCCCCTTCTTAGGGTTCTACCGGAACGAAACGCCGAAACATGCCAGCAACACCCCCTAGTTTCTCATCCCTCGGAGTCCAACCACCATTGACTTCATGATACTTCATGGTTTTTAAACAAGAACTCTTTAGCCTAAGGGTTCTATACTCCCAAACCCATGCCCATTTCTAAAGGCACGGTCGCAGGCTCGGGTTCACCTCTTCTTATCGCACGGATCGATGCTGCCGCTGCTCCTGGACCTTCTGACGGATCTCCCCCACGGTGGTCTCGGCCGTGACGGGCACGGCGAACATGCCCAAGGTGGTGAGCACCTTGACCTCCGGCACGTGGTCCTGGCAAGCTGAACGGTTCATGAGCTGCTGGGCGTTGATTTCAGGTGGGGTGCCTTGGTGGTCCTGGCGTTGCAACCCGGGAAAAAAGAAACAATGCGATGAAAGTCTTGGCAGAAGCAGTTGAAGTGTATGATCAAGAATTATATTGTCTGAGTGGACTGGGATCTCGTGGAACAAGATGGAGAAAGGAGTCTCGGTCCAGATCACTTCAGTAAATTAAGGCTTTATCCTGATTTTCCATCCTCTTCCATATAGTTTCTTGGATTTTTGTCCGATCAACCCACCTCTCTCTGAGATGTTCCGTCATCTCCTCCCACCCCTCTTCATCCGTCTCCTGATCTCTCTCCGCGATCTCGGCCGCACCCTTCTTGATGAGACCGCCCTTCTCATCCCAGATCTCGCGGTCCGGCGCGGTGTTCTCGGTGAAGATCACCTCCTGCAGACAGGTGTCAGTCCAAATGCGTTTGTCAAACACTGCAAGGTCAGACCGGCGTCTTGTGGAAAAATTAGAGCATAGGTTTGAACATGGAAGAGATCGGGCATCATCTTGCATTTGCTGATTTGTTTCAGGAGCCCGGCCAAAAAGTAAACATCTTCCCCAGATGTCGGGGTAGCATCCAAATCAACCTGGTCTTCCGACTCTCAACATCTCCTGTTTTCCAGTGGCTGAAGAAAAGGAACACCCTCCAGCAGCACCCAAAGGGTGGTTTATACAACCCCACCTACCACAGTAACCACCCTTTCGGTGGTGCTAGAACCAGCGCCACGTCCAAGGCTCCTGTCCCTCTTCCTCTGCCATGGCCAAAACTAAACCTTCTTCGCCCACGCGTGAACACGATCTGGAGCCGAGAAACTGCCCACGGGAAAGTCATGGAATCAATCGACATCCATACGCCAGGAAGGCGAGTTGGCACACCGTCCACCTCCACCCTTCCACCCTGCGGGGTATACTGTCACGAATCAGCACCGTCGACCGACCTCCAGCACGGTGCGGGGATGTATTCACCCAGGTTCTGAGAAAAGGACCATCACCAAGCAAAACAGGGCAAAACCAGGAAGATCTTGTGATGATTGTAACATATTGTAACCTCCATATTGCGTTCCTCGATCCGATCATGAACTCACCCCCCATATCCCCCCATTGTCCCCTGGTTGGCCCGTCAAAACGTCCGCTTTGAGGCAGGCGCCGTAGGCCTCGGGCACAGGAAAGATCCCGAACTGCACATGGCGAAGACGGGGACATTGAAATGGTGCTGTAGCATCAAATCGTTTGAGCTCCATTTTGCCCTTCTAGTGCACACCACCATGAGCCACCCCATGGCGTTGTAGATAGCCAAATGGATTAAAATGGACAACCTCTCATTCGTCCAATGAGGAGCTACTCTGGTCACACTCTCGGGGCGCACAGAGTGTAAACATGTGTGTGTGTGACCTCATGACTCTATCCACTAGACTTGGTGGACGACCTCCACTACATCCCCCAGCATCCCCCAGCATCTGATGCTGAGATCTTCCTGCAACCGGCCCCATCTCAGAGCCCGGCGAGTGCACGCCGTGCACGGCACGTTCGGTGCGCTCGATGGGGCGCTCGATGGGACGCTCCTGATGTGAGATACAGATTGAAGGACCTTATAGGACCCTACTTGGGGGACCGATAAGGATAGCCTATAGGGTTCTTCAACCTCTGTTGGCTGGGACAGGAGAAGCCACACAGGCCCCCTGGCCACACAGGCCCCCTGGCCCCGCGATCTCCCAGCGCTCTGGCGCGGGGGAAACATGCGATCCACGGGCGCCGTGCGTGGCCAGTCCTTCAAACGGCTTTGGAGTTGCTGCGTTCGGGCCTCGGGGTGGCTCGGCCACCCGGTGGACCAACAGAGGTTGAAGAACCCTATAGGCTATCCTATGGGTCCCCCAGTAGGGTCCTATAAGGTCCTTCAACCTTTGCTGGGAGGAGAAAAAAGCAGAACGATCCCGGTGGGAGAAAAAGGGTGGCGCAAGTCCACTCCAAGGTACTTCGGCAGGTGTGACGAGTGCATGAGGGCTGCGGTGGCTGGATCCTAAGGTATGTAGGTGCGATGTTCGGATTTAAGGGTTTGGCTGGAACATCTGGGAAATGCGACACTCAAGCCTAGCTATAGGCTATAGTATAGGAATTATATAAATGGCATTGATAAACACTCAAGCGCCCTTGGCCCACTTGAGTGCCACGCCAGCTCCTCCGAGAGCGCATGGCGTAGGGACCTCGATGGCGCGTTCGCATACTGCGCAGAAGGGGAAACGGTGCAGAAGAGGGAGGGATGCAACGGAAAAGCCGCAGCGGTGTCGGGTTCCCAAGAACGTTCTCATGATCCATACAAAAACAAACCATCCATGGGACTCGCATATGTTATTTACCTATATATATACATTCATTGGGGTGGTTTTAGGGGTGAATGTAGGCATATATGCCAGTCCCATGGATGGATGGTCTGGGTAATAAGGGTGTTGAAATCAGCGGCGCTGATTTCATACATCGAAGTTCCAAAAATCTATGAGGAGCACATGTGGGACGTGTAAACGTCAGAGTCAGGAGTAAACTCACATGAGCAGCCTACAGGAACAGCAGCCCACAGATGCAGCCCTTGAGAAAGGTCCTTCTAGGACGTCCTATGACCTTTCGGACGGACATGGGGGTGGATGGCTGGATGGTTTGGTTTAGGAATGTTGAGTCTTGATTAAGAAAATCCTCAGAGATGAGATGGTTTCAACCTCATGGATGTTCTCCGAGCTGGAAGCTTACTACAATACATGGCCCAACCTCCACCGTTCCGAACGACACCTTGCAAAAATATATCGGCTCCAAAGAAGTCAAGGATCATCTTTGGCTTGATCAAGGTGAACTGCAAGCTGCAAACATGTAGGACTCCTAAACTTGCCAGAAATCCTCATATCCACCCCGCCTATGCCCCCAGCAACCATTTTTTCTTCTGTGAACTGATCGTTTTTGATCGCCTACGCCGCCTACGCCGCTTAAACTGATCTGATCCGCTGAGAATGCTCCGATTCTTTCAAACCATCTGTGCGCCTGCATTTCGGGAATACGCATGCAGCATGCCCAAGCAGCAAACGGTCTTTGAGTCGCAAAACCTGGCCTGGACATCGACCCGAGCCCCTCCCAATGGTTTTCACGGATGCAGGCTCTTGATTAAACAAAACCACTCGATATGAAGAGGCTTTACAATCCAAATGGGGCGTTTATGAATGAGCTGGAATGGTCTGGAACTTCATCGTGGTTCTTTCCTTTCTTCTTCCAGCTTCAGTGTGTCTGGGACAGTGGACCTCGCTTCTCCAAACTAGCTGAGGACCGCGCCGTTTCCCCTGGAAAACGCAGGTGAACCGAACTGTCCATCTGCACATTCGTGCCACGACTTCTAGGGTAAATGAATCCCACCATTAATGGTCAGAACCCCAACATATCCCAACGAACCCTTCTAGCAAGTACTTGGGGAACTCCCTGTAGCTCCTCGGCTCCCTGTTCAATGAGGAATGTGGATACCCCCAGCTCCTTGGCTCCCTTCTAAGCAACACCTAGCCTTGCTTTACTCACGATTTTAGACTACAGCGCTAGGTCCGGTCCCTTTTTTTAAACTGTCTTGGACATCTCCGGAGCCACTCAGCACAGGACCTGCGGCCGATCTGAAAGGTGAAACGAACCAAACAACTTCCGCGGCTGCCGCTCCTGCTCCTGGACGTTCTGATCTTCAGCACTACTTTCCAGGGATCTCTGATTGATCCACCAAGCAACAAACGTCAGCGTCAGCAAGCGCCATTCCGCCCCGCGCCCATTTCCAGCGCGGAAATTTGGGGCGTGCAAGTCTTCGTTGGTTGGCTCACCGCCAGGGAATGGAGTTCGGGGCTAGTACCTGAAGTGTCCGCGCAAAGGCATGTAAAGACATCCCTTTAAAATTGTTGTGATACTGTACTTGTTTATCGACTGTTACAGGTAATGGGACGCCCCCACATGTCTTGCTCCAGGAGTTTGTTCATGACTCCATGACCTTTTTGGGGGCTTGCATGTGGAGTTGGGTTACTTATGACTTGATGTCAGTGCTCAAGGAAAAACAGCTTGGTGACTGGAGACTGCACCATCTTCTTGACCCATCATGACCCTCAGAGACCCCTTAGGACGTTCAGCGATTCTTGCACAACAAAAACACCTCCCAAAAGCGGCCTGCCTTCACAGCCTACCTCAGCCTATCTCCTTCACCCCTTCTCTCTTCGAAACCCGGAGATGCCCCGCGACCCTGAAAGCCCGAAGCCTCCAGGTAGCCGCAGCGAAGATCGTACTTCAGGTCTTGGGCACTGTAGGTGAGACTCCCTTTCGGACTGCCTGCGCAGTCAGGCACGAGGGAGGGAGTTTCAAAAGAGGAAGAGGCAGGGGAGAGAATTCCAGGGGGGTCAGACCGGGAGAAAGGAAGGCATGCCTGAAAATGTCGTTTGGTGCGGAATATGAGATTTTTCCTTGCTTGATCCCCTTCTGTCTTCCCCTCAAGTCGTCTTTTCATGTGTTGTCTGTAGTAGCACGCGCGTCCTTTAAGGGTCTGGCAGTCTGGGCCAACGGCCATCTTTAGTTTTTGCGCGCGCAACATTTATATCATAGACTAACTGCTTCCAATATAAATGCAGTATCCTCCTTCTAGGTCTCCATTGGACGCGCGTGGGAAATGCTAGGGGCCTTATGAACGACACATGTGTCAAAAAATGTTCATCTACATTCCGTACTATATTCCTTCTGTTTACTTCTAGTAGACCCACTAAATCGGGGAAATAGAAAGCTTGAGAAGCGCAATAAGAAAGCAAAGCAACTGTACTCCAGCTTGTTCAGAACTTCCTGCAGTGACCGCTGGGGCCACAGTTCGAATCAACTCTGACTTGGGTTTCAACAGCAAATCGGAGACACCGACTGCAGTGAGTGCTTGTTTTCGGCTGAGAACGCTGACAACAGTCACCTCTGAAGCCCGCCCCTGTTCCACTCCCATGGTTCTTTCAGGGGGTGCAACTACATCTGACCTGAATAAACTCGCGTCCAGCCCCAGCCCCACCCTCCACAACACAAAAAAGAATAGGTCCCTATAGGCCACCAGCGATGGGAGGAGGGTCAACCCGCATGGTCATCAGTTGAGTCGAAGACATCGAGACTGACATCGAGATGGGCCGAAATAACTCGGGCCGAAGCGCCGCGACGCGACTCGTCTCCTGCACGCGCTTCCCATTGCATCGCTCCATTCGCTGGTTGATGCCCGGGCATTTCGCCAGCTTGCCGGTGGGCCTCATCACGCAGTACACGGAGCAGGGAAGTTCTCCTTTCCTTAGCACGGGCGATCGGGCGGAAGAGTTGCATCACAAAGGATGGCGGAAGTCCGTAGAGGTCTCCCTTGATCTGTTCAATCACCAACTACACCAGGTTTTTTAACCACCAGAGTATCTTCGCCAAATGTATGGTGTAGCTGACCCCTTGCACTGGCTTCACTACACCCATTGGTTGAAACATAAACAAACAACCCAACAGCCCATCGGTTTCAATTTGGCAAGCCCCCACTTGGAGTTGCTGATTCCAAAGCTGTCAAACACTCCAACGTCTTTCAAGTTTAAAGAAGGAGGGGTCACCCAGTTGGGGAAAGAACATCCATATCAAACCCACCGTGATATCGGATGTAATAGGTCCCAGGGTTGCTGACAACACGTATCTGCATCTCTTACTTGCATTTGTTTAGGAAAGCGGAAAACCATTAGAAACACATACTTTCGGGGATTCGCCCATAGTTTTTCTTGAACATCGCCTGAATCAGAATCGCAAGTCCAGGTTGTCATACGCACAGCCTAACACCTCCATAAAAGTCACCCGCATGCGTTCGCACGCATCTCTTTCAAGCCCAGCTTCGTACTGCTGCTGCTCGTCGAGCTCTTCGCACTTGTGGCATTCGGGACATCGTTGGGCGTCTCCGCCTTCGCCGTCGGCGCGCTCGCCGCGCGGCCTTCGGCGCTGCGAGCGCTCGCAGCGCGGCTTCTCGGTGCCTGGAGCCGCTTTCACGGTCGTGGCAGCGGTGGATTGGACCTAAGGGAGGGCGCCGATGGATGTAGTTAGACTCTTGTACAGATGATAGATGAAACATGATGAAACATGTCCCAGACATGGATTGAAACATCTCTTCAGGCTCTGGAGGATTTCTGAATCAATTGATCAAGGGGTGTAGAATAGTAATAAGATGCTGTAAGAAGACAAGTCCGCAGGAAACAAGTCTGACCGACCTGTCAGCTTACTACTGCAATGACTGTCCACACTTGGCATGTGCAATCAGCACTTTCCAAAGTCCTGAGTGGGTATGTACCACGCCGGCCTAGTCAGCTGATGGTTTTGTGCGGGAATTACATGAACTAAAGCTGTGAGTGAAAAGGCTTTGTGGTTTGAACATCCTGTCCTTGCAGTTGCTTAAGGGACCCGGGCAACATACTATTCCCTCAAAGGGGATGCACATGTCTTTCGGGTTTGTCGCCCTCCTGGCCTTCATTGCCTTTGTGGTCTTCATGACCTTCATGGCT